GTCTTCCAGGGAACTTGAGGAATTGAAGAAACAACTGCAAGACCTCACTGACAAGGGATGGATTTACCCTAGTTCATATCCCTATGGTGCACCTGTTTTGTTTGTGCCCAAAAAGGAGGGTGAATTACGTCTGTGTATTAATTATCGAGGGTTGAATGTCGTTACCGTCAAGAACGTCGAACCGCTTCCTCGCATCGACGACTTACTTGACCAACTGCAGGGCTGTAAGTACTTTAGTAAGATTGATATGAAGTCTGGGTACCATCAGATCAAGGTGGAACCCGCAGATCAACACAAGACTGCTTTCCGGACCAGGTTCGACCATTACGAGTTCATGGTTATGCCCTTCGGATTGACAAATGCCCCTGCAACGTTCCAACGGTCAATGAATGAATTATTTCGTCAATGGTTGGATCAGTTCGTTATTGTCTATCTCGACGATATTCTCGTGTATAGTAAAACTTTAGAAGAACACGAGAAGCATCTTCGTTTGGTGTTAGATAAGTTGCGAGGAGACAACTTTAAAATAAACCCAAAGAAGTCTGAGTTCGCTAAATCTGAAGTTTTATACTTAGGACATATAGTGAACCAAGATGGCCTCAGGCCAAAGAAAAAGAAAATATCAGCAATTAGAGATTGGTCACAACCTAAGTCTGTGACCGAGTTACGATCTTTTCTTGGTTTGGCAAGCTACTATAGAAAGTTTGTCAAGAACTTCTCATTGATCGCTGCACCAATGAGAAGATTGTTAAAGAAAGGAACTATCTGGTTGTGGGACAAGGATTGTGAGTCTTCGTTTAAGAAGGTAAAGTATGCATTGACTCACTACCCTGTTCTGAAAATTGTTGATCCTTCCCTTCCCTTTATCGTTACTACTGATGCAAGTCGGTATGGGATTGGCGCACTCCTCCAACAGAACGACGACAATGGTTACAGACCAATTGAGTTTATGTCCGCACGATTGCCATCAGAAAAGGTCGCCAACTCCACGTATGAAAGGGAATTGTATGCTTTCGTCTGTGCGCTAAACACATGGAAACACTACTTGTTAGGGAGACACTTCACTGTGTACTCAGACCACTCGCCACTCAAGTGGATAAACACACAGCCTAGACTCTCTGATAAGCTAGTATGATGGTCTGCATTCATTAACACTTTTGATTTTGAGCTAAAAATTATCAAAGGAAAGTCTAACGTGGTTGTAGATGCATTGTCTAGAAGATGTGATTTCTTTGGTGCTATTCTCTCTTACCTAGATATTGGGAATGATTTGAAAGATAAAATTCGTCAAGGATATACCACTGACCCTATATGGAAACCTATTATGGATTTTCTTGCAAAAGATCCCACTCTACTTCCCAACTATAAGGTAACCGATGGTTTGTTTTTCTTGTTAGACCAAACTGAACAGAGATTGTGCATTCCTCACCAGGAAGAAATTAAAAGTCTGCTTATTAAGGAATGTCACAACGTTGAAGGTCATTTTGGTTTCAAGAAAACTTACGCTGAGGTTAGAGAACGCTTTGAGTGGAAGGGATTGAAAGAAGACGTACTAACTTATGTTCGTACATGTCTTGTGTGTCAGAGAAACAAACCCTCACATGAGAATCCACTTGGTCTTCTGAAACCATTACCGATTCCAAGCGAACCAGGTGAGTCTATCTCGATTGATTTCATGAGCCTCACCAAAAGCAGGAATGGCAATAGTCAAGTAATGGTTATTGTGGATCATTTCTCTAAGTATGCCATGTTTATTCCCTTACCCTCAGAAGCACGAACTGAACTTGTGATCCAAAAGTTTCATATGTGATGGGTGACTAAGTATGGTTTTCCTCTCTCCATTGTATCTGACCATGATGCCAGGTTCACGAGTATGCCATGGCAAAAGCTGATGGAAGCAGATGGTACACGTTTAACCATGTCGTCAGGGCGACACCCTGAAACGAATGGACAAAGTGAACAGATGAACCGTTTGTGCCAGCAGCTTCTGCACATGTATGTGAGACCCGATCAGATTGATTGGGATGAGAACTTACCCAAAATAGCAAGTGCATACAATAGTAGTGTCCATACCGCTACAGGGCGAACACCAAATGCATTGCATAAGGGGTGGAAACCTAAGCGTCCCATTGATGTGCTAACAAGGGATCAATTCCTTAGGTTACCTCCAGGGACCCGGGAATACGCAGTATTGTTTTAAGAAGATATTAAGAAAGTAACGGATAATCTAAAGAAAGCTCAGGACTGAATGATTGAACAAGCTAATAAGCATCGCCGACCATCGACATTCCAGGTAGGCGATCTCGTTTGGGTGAAGTCCAAAGAGTTTTCACTAGAAGAAGATGTGTCTCAGAAACTATTGCCTGTCTATTTTGGACCCTGGGAAGTTCTTAAAGTAATTGGGGATGCAGAGGGACCGTCTTACCGAATTGATATTCCCCCTCACCTCAAAACATACCCTGTCTTTCACGCGTCCAAATTGCTACCTTATGTAGAAGGAAATGAGTTCCCACATAGACTGTCTATGATTCCGCCAGACATGGACGGCGGATATGAAGTGGACAAAATCACAGGGCATGGGTACTTTTCTACAGGTGCACGTGGACGACCTTAGAAGCAGTTCAAGGTACGTTTCACGTCTCAAGCACCATCTGAGGACAGATGGTTTAGTAAACGAGAACTATTTGAAACTGCTCCTGATATTGTCGCTGCTTATGAACGTGGGTTAAGGTCTTAAGTATTTCTGCGGTGGAACTCGAAAATTGGTCGGCAGGAATGCAGTAACCCTGTTTCGAAGTAGCCTGGGGCTTAGAACTCAGCCCCAGGAAACGCAGACCTGAGTTGGTCTGTGTTGGGCTGTGTGACCAAGACACGCCCAGGCCCGAGTCTGTCGAGTGTGGTTGTGTGACCGAACACTGCACACAGGAAATTCAAGAGTAAGTCAACTGTAGAGCCAAAGGTACCGCACCCAGGCCCTTGGTTGGATACACTCACTTGTTGTGCGCAGGTACCCAGACAGCATCCAGGCCGGAGGGAATTCAGTTTCAGGCCAATCTGGGCCCTCATTCGCATCGAGATCTGGACGGCTGAGGGATACAGCATCCGGGGTCCAGACCCCGCGTCAACACTRCATAAGAGCTGACTCCCTGGCTTTGACATTCATTCAGTCTTGCGTCAATGCTGACTTCACGCGTTGACTTTGACACTGGTGCGACGCTGCGACGCTGGCTGGATGCTGGCTCTATGCTGGCATATGAGGAGAGACGGCGACGCGCTGCTGGCTGGCATGGTGGCTGGCTGGCAATAGTCTTCTTGGCATGCTGACGTGGCAGCTGCCACGCGCCGCCGCTGACGTGGCTGCTGCCACCTGTACGCTGATGTGGCGGGGTTACGTGATTGATAGTGCTGTTCTGATTCATTGTCACTTCGGAAGGAGATCAAGACTGTGGGGTTATCGTAGATACGTACCTGGTATCTTGATGTCGACATTCTCCAGTTCGCTGATGAAGACAGGCTGACGTGCCACGTGGCACATTGAGAGAGAACTTCAGATTTGTGTTCGGGTTATTGATTATTGAGGTGGCGAGAGAGGAGGTAGCCCGAAGCAGGAGTGGGCATTGTTGATTTCTCCTCTCTCAGTCTATTCTCCCCTCTCTCTCTCCTTCGTCTGTGTATGATTTCCCATCTCATTCTATCTGGACACAATTATGATTATTGACATTCATCAGCAGGTTGATATCTATATGGGCTGGCATTGTTGACAAGTGTCTTCACGATCTGGGTTCATTGCAGAGAGAGAGAAGGGGGGAGAGAGAGAGAGAGAGAGAGAGAGAGAGAGAGAGAGAGATTAAACTGACAGATATGTAGGAGTTACACAATGATGACACAGACAAAAACAACAATACTGTCTACAGTGTGAAGTGATGATTTATGGGCCAACTTGCCATATGGAGTGGCAGGCACACCTTTTGAATTGGCATTTCAGCACACAGTTGGCAGGAGCACACCATGAGAGCGAGAGCACCATATGTATCCATAGAAAGGGGGCAACAGCCTCAGAGAATATCAGACACGACTCTGATCAACCAAACCAACAGATAAGACATGATGATAGTAGCATTGACATCAACAAACATATGGGCTGACAGGTTAAGCAGCTGGTAGATAGATCGGAAAAGAGACAAGGTCAATTTTCTTTCTCGCTGGGCCCATTTGTTTTCCACACATAAACAACTGCGTCATCATGCTGCAACTGAAACACAGAAGAGAGTCTAGATCCCAGCCACACTGGGGTGGAGACCACAGTGCCTACGTACCCATGAATTTTCAGTGCACTGAGTGCAGACTGGGCCAATTTTCTTTCTTTCACTGGGCCTTTTCATTGTTCTATTTTTTCTTTTTTTTCTCTCTTTGTATTAAAAAACTAAGCTATATTCTTCTCTCCACATACCTCCCACTATCTACCTAACCAGGAATGATAGACACCCTGAAGCTTGATCTACCCTCTAGAGGCAAGCTACACTAAGGGTTATGGGTTGAGCCTATCCCCTCAGGGGGGTTGAACCCAACCCCTGGCCATGGGTGGTATTCCCCACCAACCAACCAGAAGGAACCAGCTGACTACCTCAGCCGGTGAACCTGCAGCGCGCCTCAGGAGGTGAGGGGGCTCGATTGGGGACTGTGGGGAATCGAACCCGCAACCTCCTGAATGCCCCTTTCGCGCTCTACCAACTGAGCTAGGCCGCTTTTTTCTTCTTCTTCTTCTTTCTGGCCGATCTTTCTTCCTTCCTGTTTCGCTCGATAGATCTGACGCCTGCTCCACATGGTCAAAGAAGAGATAACAACAGCTGCAAAAACTGGAAAAAAAAACAAGATCACGAAAAGGAAAACAAGATCACAGATATAGCTTCGCATTGGAAGCGCCGAATATAATGAGAGGCATTGACAGCAGGATAGAAGAGTTCACAACGAACTACGCGAGGATATGTAGCATGTCCTACCGTCATTTTGTGGTCCCCCTTAGATTTATCATAGTTAAAGAATGCCGCTTTTCTTTCCAACAACTTCTGCCGGGAATTTGCAAGATGAAGCAGCTCTTCCGTATTCATAGTTCCCTGCAAAATGCAGTCCATCAACTATCATTGGCCATATCTGCATTAATTGAACCATTTGTATGCGTGGGTGTGTGAAGAGGGTGTGGTGTGTGGGTGTGTGGTGTGTGGTGTGTGGGTGTGTAGAGGGTGTGTGGGTGTGTAGAGGGTGTGGCACTGTGGGGTGTGTGGGTGTGTGGGTGTGTGGGTGTGTGGTGTGGGTGTGTGGGTGTGTGGGTGTGTAGAGGGTGTGTGTGTGGGTGTGTGTGTGGGTGTGTGTTGTATATTATCACCACAACAGCCCCTCTTCCACCCAGATGAGTAGATTCAAAATTGAAGCAGTTTTACGTCTATAGCAGACAATGAAGAACACTAAAGATGAGCAAAGTTCAGCAAATTCAACATTGAAACCGTTTCACCTCTATAGCATCTGCATGTCTGCGAGCATGTGCATCTGCATCTGCATGTGTGTGTGTGTGTGTGTGTGTGTGTGTGTGTGTGTGTGTGTGTGTTTTAGATTTTCCCCACAACAGCCCCAATTCCACCCAGGTGAATAGATTCAGAATCAAAGCAGTCTTTATCCTATTGCAAACAACG